CCGTAAGGCGACGAAGCACAATTGACGCCAACAGTCTCGTTACAACCGGGGTCAAGCTGATCCCCCTGTGGTTACCACACTCACTACGCGCCCCCTTTTTTGAAAACGGGCACTATCACCGATTCTCCCAGTTGTCTGGGACAGACTCCTTTTCCCAAATGCAAGCAAACAGATCGGACAAGTGCTGACTGAGGACTTCAAGGCCGTCTTGGAGCAGTTCGGGTAGAAGGTCATCCGGACCGGGAGTTCGGTGGCGCTTGTGGGAAAATATGCAGTCGTAAACCTCCGACGCCGTAGGTGATTCGACGTTCACCGTCCAGGGTTCTACTTCACCTGTGGGCTGTAGATGAGTGCCGGCGGGGGGGCGCCGACGGTGGNCCTGCATGTAAAATAAATCTGCATCTCTTTTTCCATCTGTGCGCCGTTTAACGAATTTTCACTGGTAAATCTGATCTTAAGGTGTAAATGCGACGGTAAGTTTGCTATGCAGAAACCGTCCAATATCTTTGACTCAGCTGATGAGTTGAGTAATACAAACTAGCAGACAGCCCCATAATACACAGCCCCCTAGACAACATTGAAACTCTGAATCAGTTTGGTTTTGTGTTTTTCTCTTTGAACCACTACAGTACACAATAAATCAATACAATAGTCGCTGAAGTTGTCAAAAATCCTGGATAGGTACTGCCTACTGTGATGCACGGGTAGACAAGACGCTTAGGCTAGCAAAAGCGGGATGAGTTCAACCAGATGCTGCGTGGAAAAGCTACTGCCGTTTAAAGAAAACTTTTATCGGGAAGATCAGAGAAGCAAACGATGTAAAACTACTTGACCTAACAGCACAACAGCAAGTTGAACGAACGACTACCCGCAATCACTCAAACTGCTTAATGCTCCTCGGTTGAAGAAGCTCTGATGTGATAAGACTGCTTCTTGAAGGGGCTCTTTATACATCCAAGAAGAAGCCTAAGTATTCCGCCTACCATTTGAAACTTCTTGTAAGCCTAGTTAATACTGTGCAAATCTAATAACACTAAAAGTATTGTTTGGATCACACCAACAAACTACATTTGATCGAAGTTGCATCTTTCTACTTCTAGGAAAAACTGAGAAAGCTTTCCGAACTTCTTGCCGGAAGATAGGCTGAGAATATGAGGTACACTATAGGAAGTTTGCGGAGGAATAATCATCGGTTACACAGAATTTGAAGGCATGGAACGTGACAAACAACGCTGACCTCCACAGCAAGGAAACGACTAGTTAACCATTATTCGTCAAAAATGGTGTGACCAGAAACAGAGATGGGCACAGATGCACACAGTTGCTCACAGATGGGCACGTAATATGCCATAACATTTAAAGCTAAAGAACTAAGTGTAATGGATAATGCAAAAATGACCATTATTGCATTGATCAGGACTATTTGACGTCGATGCGTTCACGTCTAGAGCCTTACGACTCTAAGATATGGCCGCAAAAGTATCACTTAACGGGTCCGGTCGGTGAAAGGACAAACGAAAGAACCACCCTCAGGATAAAACTAGAAAAATATTAGCATATCGTGCCAAGGCTGCGTAGGCAAACTACTACCACCTACAAACAATGGCTTTATGTTTTCTTTTTTAATGGAAAGCTGAAAAAGGAAATGGCTAAAGGGTAACAGGAACGGGCCGTTTAATCTGCCATTCAAATCAGCAGTGGCACCACCTGAGTACATACCTCCTCACTGATGGAGACAAATTTTGTGTGAATTCACTCGAACTACAAGGCCGCCGACAAAAAATAACTTTTGAGTGTGCAAGCAAAGGATAATAGCCCATAAGTATATGTGAATAACCCTTTCTTTCTTTGGACTTTTACTTTGAACCCCACTACACTGAGTGATTTCCCTCGCTGGTGTTTAAGTTTTTCTAATCGGCAGTGTTTGTTTTGTCACTATGAGTTCCTAGTCGACACCAAACGGCACCTTCCTATAGATGACTGCACACAAAGCCTAATGTTGTTACTTTTTGTCCACACGGTTTTAATCATTCAAAGGCTCTTTAAGCGATACGTTTCGCAATAGTTTTACTACCGTTGTTCTTCTTGGGAAGCTTTTAAGCCACTGTGGTTGCTGGACAACAACATATCAGAACAAGGAATCCATCAATCTTTGACAAAGAACTCAGCCTTTCTGCTGACAGACTAAATATTTTTTGGCTGATTTTGGTCATTTTTCCAGGTATAATATGTTTCGCCAATCCAAAAGGATGTAGACCTCGCAGCTGCATATGATCCCAAAGAAGTATGGATATTGTCATTCGTGCGGTGATTGTCAGACACGTTGGAAGGTCACTGCATAAGATAACTGACTCATGCTATATATCCACTGCTAGCATGGAGGTAACCCCTTTGTCCTCAAAAACAAATCTGTCACGTACATGAACTAGCCCCAAGGAAATCCTGGGGACATTCCATGAATGTGTTATCAAACCATCCGGCCCCTCCAGTTCCTATGTGTGCAGTCTGGTTCGGCAAATGCGGTGTAGAATTCCAGCCTACCTCTTCGAACTTGCACATAAATCTACAATGTATTGGATTTCTGCATAGCAGCACAGAAACACAGATTAACTTACACTCTTTTTGGAGTAGCCAGTTCTTCGTTAGGTGACTGTCAACAAAGAAACTTTCAACCTCAGGCAGACCGAAGTCGGTCGTTCTATCGGTATACGTGACTTTTGCGCGGTGAGCAACAAAGTCTCAGGACTATAGAATTCTCAAGTCATTGTTGCTGTTTTATTATTGATTACTCCACGTCTGTCTATATAATTACTAATCAGCCTGGAGGTTGAAGGAATATGTATTGATATTTCACTACAGGCACAGCGATTCTTTGGAGAGTTGGGAAGTGCTTGCTTTGACCGATGTGCTCCGTCACTTTGAAGTCACGTTTGACAAACTCTCAC